TGATATTTTGCATATGAAAGCATTGTAATGTTTACTGATAATGTACCAAATTCCATTAACATTCGCTAACTAATGTAAAAGTTATAGCATGAAAATTATAAGAAGCACAAAATGGTTATGAGGTCAGTCCCAGGGACCGAGCTCATGCTGAAAAAGAGTTAAAGCAAGCATATCAAAAAGAAAAAATCCAGTTCCTTGTTGATAAAAATTTACAAATTTGCTAAACTGTTATCATGTACTATAAACTGATGCAATTGTGATTTTAAAAGTGCATCAAAGAAGGTAACTTTCTAAAAAGAAAACAAAGACTAATATCAGAAACTGTTGTTCTTTTATTTAAATGCAATGAAAATTGTTTTTTTTTTCTAAACACAAATTAAAATAAGTACAACCAGTTATCATAAGTTCATAGAATTATCATTTATAAAGAAGTGTAAGTAAATTCTTAACAACAATACAATAATCCTATTTGTTTGGAAAGTCGTATCTATTATTAAAAATCACTATCTCACAAAGTTATACATTTCGTAAATCTAGAAAATTCATTAAAAGTAGAGGATCCATCCAGATATATGAAAGTTTTAAAAGAATAGCCTCTTTCTCAAAACTGTTGTTCAACCATTCAGTAGGCTTCACAGAAACTCCTATTATTGTTATCATTATGTAATACACTGGGCCCTAACGGGGGATAAATTTAAAACTTGAATAATTCTATTAATTTCTACAAGAAAAAAATATTGGCATATAATTCAGTAATTTTAAAATAATTATGTAACTAGAGCTAAGAGAAATTAAGATTTTCTTATATTTCGATGATCAATTCCCATTTCAATATTTTTATTTATTTTATTAAATATTTCCTGAATAAATTCTATTCCAATTGGATTTCCATGTGAACTCCGTGTTTTCACATTGCCCAGGTGAAACTTGTTCTCGCAAAGTCCTTCATTAAGCCTAATCTAGTTTCTTTCTAAGAAACCCCGCATCCTTTTCATTTTGCAGAAGAACCATCCACTTACCAATTTCCTATGTAAGCTTTGCTTTGGCTGATTTTCTATGTGAACTCGTTTTTCTGGACTGCATACTTCAAACAGTTTTATTACTTTCCTTCTTGGGCATTGTTGTAGGTGATTTATCAGAAGAACACTGCTCTTTCTCATTACACAGATGTAATTCACACTTATCTATTTTTCTAGCTAGTATCTACAAGTGCTTATGCTCCTTTCACTAATTAATTAAATAATTCCCAAAATCACTCATTATTTAATATGATGTTTATTCAATTTAATTCTGTTACTGACAGCAAAACAAATCTACACAGATAAATTATAATGTAACAATAACTATAAGAAATCTTTTCTTTCGTTTTCATTTTCGAAAAATATACTTGAGGAATAATAGTAACACAACAGAGGTTTGATCCTCCTTATTTTAACTCAATATAATATGAATTATTTTTGTACAACAGTTAGTAACAGTGTTTGCTTTTCCCTCTACTTATTTGGCAATAATGGGTTCAGATTCTGTGAAAAATAAACCTTACCAAAACAAAAAAACGATCATAAAAGAAGGCGATTCAAAGATTAAACATGTACTATGCTATTTTACAACCATCAGGAAATAATCTCTTTTGGAATGGAACATTAGTTGCTCTTCTGTGTCCAAGTAAACTATTTCTAATACTTTTTTTTCTGTGATGTAAAATTTATTATATCTAATTAACTTTTTTCAGTATTTAAGATTTCTGATATGCAGCTCGATCCACTTGAAAAGTACAAATGCCATTTCGGTAAAGACTTACCATATTCAGAAAACAACTGAATTAGGTCTGATGTCTTCCAAGATTTTGGAAATGTTACATGAAAAACATGGTCTCGTTTAGGTTCGGCTATAAAAACAATAATTTTTGCTGTTTTAAATCAAAGTAAAAAAATACAAGAAAAATTAACATAGCCCTTGCATTGCCATTACTTCAACCCATCCACCCAAATTAGTTTCTGCATGTAAACCAGCTAAATCTCCAAAATGTTTTTATTAAGCACAAAAATTCCAAATATGGAACTTCTAAGGTCAAATCTTTAACTCAGTAAATTATTTGTGTAATATTTTACAAACTAAAAAATAGGACCAAGAGTGAGATATATATCTTTTTGTCCCTCTTGACTTTCACTGTTTGTTAACCCATCCAATTAGAAAATCTTTAATTTCATTGTTTACTTAAATTATTATTCTAATACTTTACCTACAATTTGAAGAAATGTTTATGTTAATTAAGAAATTAATTAAAAAGAAAAAACTGACAAGTTTAAGTAACAAAAGTTGTAAAGAATAGTTTCTCATTTCTTTCTAACAAACAATAAACAAAAAATGACAAGAATGTTCTTAAACAAGACTAAAATGTAGTTTGAAATATTTACAAAAGACACTTTTATATTAATCCCTTACCATCAATACCACTCAGGTTAATGAAGTGTACATCATGGCTCTTCCCTAAAAACAATCTAAAAAATTGAAATAGCCTGTTTAATTATAGACACAGATGTAACTATTAAACTGACATTTCATAATACAGGAACTGTTAAAATCCACACATCATAAGAGTGTTACATAAAAACTTGCATACACAAAATTAATTTGTTACTTTGATATAAATGAAAATGTTCAATATATTTTTTTTTTTCAACTTACTACTATACAAAAAAAGAAGTACTTTTTGTTTCAGAATTATCAAGTTCACTAATTTTCACAAATAAGTCTTCAAACAATATGGAACTATTTCATGTTAAATAATACATCAAACAGATTATAAAAAGTACCTCATCTTTACTTAACAAAAGTAATTAAAATATTGCCAGAGTAAGTTATTTGGATCACTCAGCCAATTCTTCCTGTCAGGTTTTTACAGGGCTGGAATCTTTAGAGCAGGTGTCTGTGATTTGTTGGTGATACATTTCAACAATAAACAAGCAGCACATAGTCCACTTATTTTGAAATAATATATTAAAACAAGTGAAAAGTATATACAAATGTCCACTACACTGTTGGTTACCATAGTTGTATCCATAGCTTTAAATAATTGTCTCTTTTTTTGTCAAAGTCCACATCATAGGCTGGTTCAATTACTTTAGAACACAATTAACAAGACAAATTATTCTTCTCTACTCTGTTATTACAATATCATCAGTGACAATTTTACTTTAAGAAATCATCACTGTATGCCCTTTATGGCTAAACTCACAATCACTCAGTCTAGATCTAACTCTATCTAACTAAAGTTTCAATGCATATTTATTCCCTAACAGAGGCCTAGAACATTCCAAACCTGCAAGATATTATGATGCAATAATACTCAATTAAAATAATGAGAAAAACTTTAAAAGGTTCTAGTAACATGATGCAACAATACAACAATCACCAGTTCACAACAATTGAACTACACAACGTATGATTCATATACAGTTACACAAACAAGCTTGCAATAAACTATTACTTCTAAGAATAACTAAATTTAACACTTGCACAATATAAATTATCTAAATCATAACACTCACAAACTTAAACTGAAACAGTCATTATATCTAACACTTCCATTATAAGAAAATGAAATTAAAATAATAATTCACACCTACTTGTTAATATATGGCTTTAAAAGTTGAGATCCTGGAAGAACCGGATATTCTGGAGGATCCTGAAATGAGCCTGAAACAATTACAAGAGAACATAATTAATTACACATTTTGTTTTCCTTCAGAACAAATTTTGGTTTACATTAGCATATTCAAAAGGTTCGTTCAGTAAATTACATCATAATTATTTTTTTATATACATAATTACTCTAGAATTATACTCCTCTGATACACATTTTTTTATGGATCTCAGAAAAAATAAAGTACTCTAATTACAGGTAATTGTTAATATATTTTTGATTTATTTTTACTTAAGTATATACATTTTTTAAAAACTTAATCACTCCTCTGATACACTATTTTTTTATGGATCTCAGAAAAAATAAAGTACTCTAATTACAAGTAATTGTTAATATATTTTTGATTTATTTTTACTTAAGTATATACATTTTTTAAAAACTTAATCACGAATAATAATATTTAATATAAGTATGATTCACTCATTTGTTGAGTACACACATTAAAGTAGTCAAATCATAATCAATAAAATTATTTGAGTATCCTTGATGTAGTTTTACTTAATCATCAATGATACTGTTTAGTGAAAGTATGATAATATCAATTCTACAAACAGATTAAGACACTTTTCAAGATGTACACAAAACATTTATTCCATTTCTTTAGAACAACAACAACATTTTATGAAGGGAGAAATGGATAAAATTAATTAAAACTTTAAAACACGTTTAAATTCAAATTATTTAAGTTATAAATTTCATAATAAAAATATCGTTTTAATGTGTTCATTGTTGTTTGTTCTTCAATAAAAAAAAAAAGAGTATTTTTGTTTGACTTAAAAGCAACAGTAGATTAAGTCAAGAATGACCATACCATATATGAGTATAAAATAAATTTACTGGCATAGATTAAATGTTAAGGTTCTCAGAAACATAATGAGAAACAAGTTCAAGATAAAATAAACCCACCTAGATGATTAGCAAGGGTAATAAAACACAGCCCAGTAATAAAGGCATCATATCCAGCTTCATGCTGTTTTTCATTTATAGTGGTATACGCACAGATATCGCCAGCTGGCTCTAGAAAATCAAAAAAGTAAAATACTATTAAATCAAGTTGACTTTGAATAATGTGGGATTAAGTCTTCAAAGAGGAGTAACTCCCATCACTAAATGAACATACTATTACATCACAAAATATCAAAATTAATATTCTATGTGATAAACCCTGTAACTATAAAATGACTAGAACTGTGACACTCAAAAAATGACATTTTTTGTTTTGTTACCATTTCATTTGAAGTGTGTTGTTTTGTTACCATTTTAAACAGTAAAAAAACAAAAATTCTACTAATGTATGTAACCATGAATAGAAAACACATTCTTACCAACTGTTGGGACACTAAAAGGTTTCCTTCTTGTCTGTTCTAACAAATCATTCAGGCTTGTTGAAATAATGTAATCCTAAAAATGTAATGTTAGAAAATAATCAATATTCCATGAAACAATGTAATAATACACACGTAATAATAGAGAAGAATAAATAATTCTTGAAAGTTTAAATCCCCAATAACTGACAACCATAAGCATCTAACTAGGGTAGTACGGGCACGAGCCACCCCACTTGGAATATTTGTTTTAGCAAAACTTGTATCTTTTTGTTCCCTACCCAGTCCTTCTTTCCAAAGTTGGGTGCACATGCTGACAGCTACCAGAAAAATTTTAAATGAATATAATTTTACACACACATAGCATTTGTGAAATAAACAAAATAATATAATACCGATCATACAGCAAGATCCATGTTCATAAAAGAAAACTGTATTCAATATCAAAATCACAAAATTTCAAGAATAATTTTAATGAAACTCTACAATCATCGTAAAGTACACAAGGATCAACAAATACTACTCATGCAATTATGTTACCAAAATCACATCTAGCAAAGTTTGGCTTGAGCTATAAATATGAAGTTAAGCATTTCAAAAGTGTAAAAACAAATAAATTTGGTTCATCTTTCAAAAAAATTATAAATCATGGTAGAAAAAAACGCCTGATTTTGTTAGGTAATTATCTCAGTCAACTCTCAGCATCAATGAAAAGTGTCATTATCTTGTACTGAGCAACCTATAGATTCTATTATATACACCTCAGCAGAACCCAATGTAACCTAACACAACAGTTCACAGTCATTAGCATCAATAGGAAATTGAAAGGTGTTATATAGAAAACCTACTTAAGAATTTTAAACATGTTTCTTCAATTTCATACTGTATAATTTATTATTACAAAATTGATTTTAAAAGATACTACTGCAAAAAATGTAAATCAAGAAACTAAATCAGAAGTTAATTTACAAAGAATTTCCTAAAGACATATGTAAATTAATCATGTTTGAAAAGGTATTAATTCTTTATAAAAGTTTCAATTTATAAGCTCGGAATTATAACTTTAATTACTCTTTTATTCATTTTAATAGAAATTTAATGTATATTAACAAAACTAAAACAAACGCAAGAAATTATTTCATCAGTTAACAAATTCCTTATAAAAATAAAAAAGAATAAAAAAATCTCTGTTGCATAATCTTTTCATTAAGTCCTTTTTTCTAAACCAAACAAATAGAAAATTTCATAAATTAACTCTCAAAATGTGTGTGGAAA